GAAGGGGACAGTGGTGTTCAGGGCACAGGGCGGCACCACTGTGGCCTGTCAGCTCTCTGTGTTGGGCTGAGACTAGCAGGGACACATGGGCCACTCTCCTAAATGCAGAGGACAGCAGCTGTGCACGTGTGCTGGAGTCTTGTGCAGGAGGAGGAGCCCTGGGCAGACCCCACCCCGGAGGTCTTTCAGAGCCCGAGGGAGACCCCATTCCGGAGGCCTTCCAAAGCCTGAGGTGCTGAGGCTGCATGACCCATGGAGCCCACCCCGGTCAGAGCAGTTGCCACTCACAGCCAGTCCCCCACTCCCTATGTGTCACCAAAGCCTCTCTCCTTCCCCATCTGGGCTGCACCAGCCCCACCCCGCCCAGGGCAATGACCTAAGGAAGCCACCTGTGCTGTGAGCAGAGCGGGCCCTGAGGCGTCATGGCTGAGGTGGCAGCAGAGTTGGCTTTAGCCTGGGGGCAGTGGGGTCTTACTTGGAAGGGAAAGCACAGTCATTGACTAATTTCTGTGTGTCACTCACGTGGGTGGTGGGTGAGGGTCTGGGCTGGGTCTGAGGTGACAGCGCTGGGCTTGCGTCTCAGGAGGGGCCTCTGTCTGACAGGCCCAGCACTTGCAAGCAGGAACTGCAGGAGGGTCCAGGTCTGGAAGGGGCCTGGGTCCTGCACAGCGACAGCCACCGTGAACTCGGCTCGGGGGACCTGGAAGCCGGTGCCCACCAGGACTGTCTCCCAGGGAGCTGGCGTAAACGTCAGAGCTCTCTCTCCAGGTTTGGGGCCCTCTGTCACCTTCTCTCCCAGATTAGGACGGGTGAGGGGCTAAGGTCAACACCATGGCTTTGAACCTGCCAGACCTTGAACCTACTCCCTGGAGACCCCGACGGAAGGAGCTCCCAGGTGCACCTCGGGCAGGCATGAGGTGTGGGACTGTCTGTCACCTCCCAGGTTGATGTCAGAGCCGGCTCCACACCTGTCCCAGGTGAGCCTGTGGAGCGTGCTGGCTGCGGAGGTGGGGGCAGCATCCGGTGGGCAGGAAGGGCCAAGGGCCATGTGGCAGTGGGTGGGTGGGGGCTGAGCTACCTGAGGCTGGCGGTGTAGATGGTGCTGCTGGGTAGATGGTGCCCACACCGCAAACTCCTGTGGGGGCGGGGCCTCCCTGAGCAGGTCCAGAGCCAGGCAGTTCCTGGACCTGCTGCTGGGGAGCGTGGCCCTGGTCTCGCAGGGGGATGCCAGCCTGAGGTCCAGGGTGCAGTGGATGGTGTGGCAGAGTGAGGCAGGCTCTGGGTGCAGGGCCAGCTGGTGCAGACGCGTACCGTCCAGGCTGTGGCTATGCTGCTCCTCACTGACCCTGGCTTTCATCTCCCGGATCTGCAGAGAGAAGCCATGGGGTGCAGCCTGCAGCCCCCTCCCGCTCCCACCACTGCAGACGGCAGCCACACTGCTTGTGGCCACAGAGCCGCCCTCCCTGCCAACACCTGCCCTGCACCGCTGTGCACTGCCGCCTGCCCTGGACGGGCTCCCCCGGCACACACTGGCCCCAGCCCTACCTGCCAACCTCTCAGGGGTGCTGGTTCCAGGGGCCAGTCCCTCCCCTGCCTCTCATCAGCACAGCAGCCCAGCCTGCCTCAGTTTCCCTAATGAGACATCTGTGTCCGTCCCTCAGGCCTGCCCGTGGCCCTTTCAAGAGAGGCTTGGCATTTTCTTCTGGTGCATTTTGGGAGCCCCCACCTTGCCCAGCTTCTTTCCCGGGGCTGTTTTCTGCCTTGTAGCTCAGTGGACCTGGACTCCGAATTTTGTGTAATTTAGGATCAGGTCTGAGTGTGGCCCTTGAACACCAGCTCTGGGCACCTCAGACATCAAGACCAGCCTCTTATTTTACACAGGAGGAAACTGTCACTGTCCGAGGCCCTGTCCAGGTGGGCATCCAGCGGGCAGCATCATCACCCTTAGGTGACGCCTCAAACCCGAGCTTCTTGGCCACCGTGGCCCCTCAGAGCTGCACCACTGTGCCCCCTGGAGGTGGACAAGGCGCCTGGCAGTAGGCAGCAGTGGGCAGGCGACTTTCATCAATACATCTTTCAAGAGTTAGACTCCCCGGCTGGTGCACAGGTGGCTTTGGGTGGCTGTCTCCTTTGAGGAGTGGCTGACCCTGGCTTGGGCTCGCCCCCACTGGGATGGTTCTGCACTTGCCAGGACCTGCAGCCTCCCTCCCTCCTCCAGCGCCCAGTCCTACCCTCTTTCGATCCAGCATCCGATAACTAATCAGCCACAGCTGACTTTCTCTGCCTTTCCAGGGGGATCCTGGACAGAGCTGATTGGACAGGGCCTCGCCCTACTGTGGTGGAGCCCGGGGTGTTGGGTGGGGATTGGGTAGGGCAACTCAGAGCCCAGCTGGGAACCCTGAGCCCGCCAGTCCCCACCTGGGCATGCAGGAGACATTGGCTCTGCCTCTCCAGCTCCTTTGGGGGGACCTTAAGGCCTGGGGGCTCTAGGGGAGTAGAGGAGCCCAGAGCAGCCTTGCACACTGGACCAGGCCCTGGTGGAGGAGGTAGATGGAGGGGTGGGGGAGCCAGTGGATGGAGGGGGTGGGGCAGCCAGTGGACAGAGGGGGTGGGGCAGCCAGTGGA